GGGGTGGGTGGGGAAACGGGCAAGTGAGAGAGGGGGAGAGAGAGACGGAGAGGGAGGGAAGTTAAGAAAATGTAAAGGTCTCTCTCAGAAAAGCGAAAAATGCAGCAAATATGAACTTTTCTGAACACTTACAGTACATTTTAGGTAAGATCACATTCATCACAGGCAATCTGTACCTGTACGTGATGTGATGTATCTTGCATTTTTCCCATCCCACCTCCCCTCTCTCTCACCCCTCTTCCCCTCATTTACAAGTTTTGGGGCTACCTTCTCTGCCTTTTGGCTAAGATCAGGTGTACAAGTTTGGGAACATGAACTTTTTGAGTGGACGGGCCTGAGGGTTTCGTTTTTCTTTTGCTGTTACTGGGGATCGAACCCAAGACCTCCCACGGAGCCCCCCCATCCTTTTTACTGTTTTTTCAGTAGCAGGAGTCAAATTTAGGACCTTGTGCTTGCCAGGCTGATGCAGAATCATTGAGCTAAATCCCCAGCCCTTTATTTAGTTTCTTTTGGTGCCAGGGATTGAACTCAGGACCCTCTCTGCTTGCCAGGCAGGTGGTGGCACACAGCACCACTGAGCTTAATTCCCAGCCTTTACTTTTTTTTGCTTTTTGTACCGGGGATTCAAACTCGGGTCCTTGTGCTTTTGAGGCAGGCGGCGGAACCACTGAGCTAAATCTCCGGTCCCCGGCCTTTACTTTTTAAAATGAGGGTCTCCCTAAAGTGCCTGGGTTGGGCTCAAACTTATGATCCTCCTGCCTCAGCCTCCCAGAATGGTGGGATTACAGGTGTGTGCTGCTACACCCACCTGGGGTCTGAGTTTAAAGCTGTGTTCTGCTGCTCACCAGACAAACAGTTACCCACCCTCTGAGGGCTCATCATCTGTTAAGCAAAGATGGTAGCCGCTTATCTTTGTGTGGCTGCTGCAGGCAGTAAACACCGGAGTCTCCCAGCCAACGGCCGGGATGGCAGTGTCTAACACCTGTGTGTGTGGATGTGTGCCTGAGCGCATGGTGCAGTGGGGCAGGGCTGGAGCTGCTCGGTGGGTGCGACATTTTTAAGGACTGAGCTCGTGTAGAAACAGGGACCCACTGGTATGTGTCACTGTCACTGGAGCACGGCAGCGCTTAAGTCTTTGCTGTGACATGTTAGCGGGGAGAGGCTGTGACTGAGATCGAATGTGACAGCAAGACAGGTCCTGAGTGACAGAGGGAGCGGAGGGAGTGGCTGTGCCAGGCACCTGTCACCATCCCTTCCCGCGGCCCCCGCTGAGGGGCAGGGGCTGCTCCAGGCAGCGCAGTGCTGAGCCCAAGCTCCTGCAGGGCGAGGGAGCTGTGTGTGGATGGCGGCCGAGCCGCCTCCGGCGCGGAAACTGCAGCACCCTCTTCCTCCTCCTGTCCCCTCCCCAGTGAGCGTCCCAGCTCCAGCAGGCAGTGGCTCCCCGGGCGGGCGTGCAGAGCCGCAGGAGGGGTCGCCTTTCTCCAGGGAGCCATGCGGACCTGAGGCCTGCACTTTGTGAGGTGAAGTGAGGGCGCTCCACAGACGTGGGGGAAACATCTGCTTTATTCAAATGGGATCAGAGGGCTACAGGGACAGAAAGTGGGAAGCATGGGGTGGGCAGGGATGGTGGCCAAGGCGGGCCAGGTCTAAAGAGGCTGCTGGGAGAGCAGCCTGAGGGTTCCTGTGGGTGCAAGGACAGGAAGAGACCACTCCGTGCTGTAGGAAGCCGAGATGAAGGGCTCTTAAACACAAGAGTTAGTTCTCCTGCCCTCGCGCAAGGGGCTTTGCTTTTTATTATCTTGTGGTGCCAGGGATGGAACCCAGGGCCTCACACACGCTGGGCGTGCACTGTGCCACCGTGCTACCTCCCCGGCCCTTTCTAAAATTTTAATTTCGACCCAAGACCATTGCCCAGGCTGCCCTCATACTTGTGATCGTCTTAGCCTCCTGAGGGGCTCCGATTACAGCTATGTGCCACCATTCGAGGTGACTTTAATGCAAGGTAGGGAAGATCGGCATGGTATTAGTTTGAGAAAGGGAAAGGAGAACTTTCCTGGAGCTGAAAAAGATGAAAGACTCAAAACCACGTTAAGGCTGCGTAATGACGTGGAATACAGGGTGAGAGACGGAATACCCGAGCGATCCACATACAAAACAGACCCTGAGCAAGGGAACAGGGTCTGAGCTTCACAGAAGAGGGTAGCAGGGCCCCAGGACCACGTGGGCATGGCCAGGGAGGAGGGGCGGGGCGTCTGGGAGAGGAGGGCCCAAGGGAACCGGGCCACTGGGGCAGCGCCGTCATACTGGGCGACCAGGAGGGGGCAGCAGCAGACACGAGGCCACAGCGCCCCAGCAGCGTGCAGATCCCACGGCCTCCGGCTGGAAGATGTCGGGCTCCTGTGGGGCGGGAAAGCCTCACCGCCAGGCACAGGGCAAGGCCCACTCCTGGAGGAGCCGATGTCCGTGACCAGGCGGCCCCCGCCCGCTGTTGGCAGGGTGAGAATGTGTGCCTGGCACAGGCTGGCACCGCGGCCTGTCACTTCCGCAAGAACTTCTTGTTGAGGAGGAAGATGAGGAGGTTGACGTTGACTCGGGCCTTGTTGAAGAGCTTCATGACGGCCACGCCCTCGTACTGGAGCTGCAGGAGGTCCTGGGAGGGAAGGGACAGGGAGGGCCCCGTTGGCCTCCGACTCCCCCGCATCAGCGGGCTGCGGCCCTGGAGAGCCACCTCTGCCACGGGAAAGCAAGGCCGAGAGCGAGGGCCGAGATTGCGCCCAGTGACCAGCGAGGCAGTCAGCTGGAAATCACTTTTCTCGCTTCAAACGCGAAACAGCAGGGCAGAAAGACTTGGACTTAAAACCACTGTCTCCCCGAACACTGCTGACTTCAGCTGGCGGCTTCACCTGTAGCCTCGGAGCCGTGACACAGGACCCGGTGGGGGGCGGGAAAGCCCCTGGCTGTGTCGGGGCCTCACACGGAATCCTGTGCCTACACCGCCAGCTGCTCAGGCCAGGGCGGCTGCCCGGGGACCCGGCAGTGCCCCAGTGGCCCCGCACCTGATAGTGAAGCTCAAACCGCTCCATGTCCACGCCCAGGAATTTGGCATTGACTTCAAACTTGCCGGCCTCGTCTCCGGGGCTGATGTCAAAGATGACGTTTCTGAAGCTGTCGGGGCAGGGTTCACACAGGGCCATCGCCCCCTCCCAGGGCCGCAGCCCTGTTCCTGCTACTCCCCAGCCCGGGCAGCCAGGCTGCCCTTCCCTCTGTCGCTCCAGTCCTCCGCCCTCTCTGTGTCTCCATCTCTCCTCCTTACGGGGCTCAGACCCAGCAAGCTCCCACTGAGGTACATCCAGCCCTGGCCCTTTTTGTTTTCAGACAGAGTCTCGCTAAACCGCCCAGGTGGGACTTGTGACCCTCCTGCTTCAGCCTCCTTCAACGCTAGGGTTATAGGCCTGTAGCATCCCGCCAGGTGCACTGGCCCTACCCAACTGTGCTCACCTCCAGGAAGGTTTCCCAGCTCTCTAGAACCACCTCGGCTGTTTCTGCTGTCCTCCTCTCTCTGCTGGGGAACCCTTGTCTCCATCCTCCCCCTAGCAACTCCTCCCCTTCTACCCCAGGCCCCAGAGCCCCCCAGAGGTGCTCCCTACATACTGGGAGGCAGGCAGATCTTCGATCTCCAGCAGGACGCCCTTATCCAGGAGCTGGGCGGCAGTGTAGTGGAGGCACGGTGGCTTCTTCCCCTTCCCAGCTCTGCAGTGGGGACACCAAGGAAGCAGGCCGAGGGAGACCCTCCCCAGGGGGACGGAGGGTGGGAGCGCCCAAGGCAGACGCGGACCCGGGGAGCCTACCTGGAGCTGGGGGCCAGGTGGCCCAGGCAGGACTGGATGTACTGGCTGTAGTAGTCGCCCTGCTCCTCACAGAAGGTGGTCTTGGCACTCAGAGCCTGGAAAGTGACCCTCAGCTTTACCAGCTCCGCCTTCCGCTGCTGCCGGTGCCTGCGCTGATGGCGGATGTCCTGGGGGTCGGAGGTGGAGACAGGGGTCAGAGAAGGCTTGGGAGACGGAAGAGGTAGCTCCAGGCTGCAGGCCCCGAGGCAGGCAGGTCCGCAGGGCCTCTCCCAGCAAAGGCGCTGTCCAAGGCCCCTCTGGGAAGAGCCGTGAGAACCCTCTCCACGGCTAAGCCAAGCTTTTCCTTCCCCGCGCCCTCCGCTGTGCTCTGCGCCTGGGGAGCCCCAGACCCCCACCCGGCGTGCGCACAGGTCCGGGCCGGTACCTTGGCCAGTTCGTCCACTAGTGCCTGGTAGCCATCGCTGGCACTGACCAAGCCCAGGCTCTCGAGCTGGCGAAGGTTCCGCAGGACCCGGCGCTGCTTCTCTGCCAGGGGCAGGAGGGCTTGAGCCGCCAGGGAGCGGTGACATCGCAGTGGCTCCGGGGTCTGAGCCTCACGGGCCTGGCGCTGGCCCATCAGCTGCCTGTGGGCCGCTTCCTGGGGGACAGAGATGCTGCAGGCCGCCCCAGCCGCACCCCTGGGCCCCCAACCCGGCGTGCGCGGAGCCTGGAGGGGCCAGGGGTGGGGGTGGGGCAGGGGCAAGCAGAAGCCAAAGCAGGAGGGCGCCTGGATGCGGCAGGCACGGGCTGTGACTCGGCCCGGCCCTGTGACCCTCCAGCGGGTGTGGTGCTTCCTCCCACCTGAGCCTGTCTCAGGCTGTGCCTGTCTCCTCCTGGGAAGTCCCTGGCTCTCACCACGGGCCTCCCCTTTCTGAGGGGAAGGGCGCCCCTGCACAGGGAGGGCCTCAGGAGGGAGGTCGCCCGTGGGATGGGGTCTGGGAGCCGAGGGAAGCTGGAGTGGGGACGGCGGGCGGCCACTCACCTGCTCTCTGGGAGCCGAGAGGGACAGGACCTCCTCCAGGGAGTCCCCGGGAAGGAACTGCAGGAGATCCGCCAGCAACTGCTTGGTGCTGCAGGAGACAGACGGGCAGGGAAGGGTCTGGCTGGGGCCGGCCAGGAGACAGCAGGCAGGAGGGAGCCAGGGCCCTTGTCCTCAGGTGGCCTTGCTCTGCATCCTTCAACTCCCCTTGCTTGTGATGCTGCCTGCTGCCTCCCCCAGGGCTCTCTGCCCTGTGGCCACTGGGCGGGGCCCTCGCACCTCAGGAGCAGGCTCCGGGTTCCAGCGTCATCTGTGCCAGCCTCTCTCCCTCCAAACTTGCTGACGAGCGTCAGGGACACTTCGAGCTTGCTCAGGTCCAGGTGCCCTCCTGCTGCTGTGTTCTCCCCTGAGGAGGGGCGAGAGCACGGGCAGGCACACGTGTGTGCATGCACAACCTTCCCACACTGCCCTGGGTGCCACCCCAGGCTCCCGCCCGACAGCCCCTTGGACCTTGCCCGCCTCCATCGCTGTAAGCCAGTCCTCCCTCCACAGCCCTGAGCCCCTCCTCGGCAGGCAGACTGCAGGGACCCCGAACAGGCCTCGTCCTCCCACATGGTCCGCCACGGCCCGCCCTGCCACCCGTGTGACGGCACCGGTCCCTCTGCTGCCTGCCCCCTCGGTCTGCGGCCTGTGTGTGTCTCCGCACAGGCCTGTGGCAGGGAGGCGGGCTGTGTGTCGGCAGCTGGCGCGGGGCCGCGCGTACCGACGAGGTCAGAGACGGTGGGAAGCTCCCCAAGGTCCGCCAGGAGCTGGTGCAGGGGGTCCTGGTGGTGCGGGGCGATCCAGTCCTGGTGCTCCAGCAGCAGCTGAGACAGAGGGCAGGGCTGCAGGGCCGGCCAGCCTCCTCCCGGCCACCACCCACCCACCCCACCGCAGCCCTCACCCTGTGCGTGTCAATCAGCTCCCCCACGGTGATGTACACCACAGGCTTGGCCAGAGCCACCGTGTCCGAGTACTCGTCCATCATGAATCGCTCCTCTGGCTCTGGGACCTGGCAGGCTCTGCAGATGAACTTCCTGTCCCGAGAGACCGCCATGAGAGCGGGCAGGGCTGGAACCTGCGTGCGCCGCCCTTGCCCGCCCTGCCTGGCCTCGCTTGTGGCCACTCCCACCAGTCCTGGGAGGCCTCCCCAACTCGCTCACTGACCTTCACCCCTGGCCTTTCACCCCCTGCGTCCTGGCGGGGGAGGGACGGAGGAATGGGAGGCTGGGACCCAAGACCTGAACTTGAGATGCGTCTCCTCCAGGTAGCTGTTCAGGACCCGCAGGTGCTGGCTCTCCCCGGAGAAGGTCTTGCCGGCCACTGCGTGCTGCAGGAGCTGAGCCACGGCCCCCAGGGTGTGGCGCTGGGGGGCAGCCAGGGTGCCACCTGCTGCCAGGGCCACGATGTCGAAGGCGTCTGGAGCCACCACAGCCGGGTTCAGGAAGCGGTAGTACAGGAGGTTCCCCACCACCTGCGGGCACAGGACACTCCCAGAGGCCACCCTGACAGCGGTGGCCCCAGGGTGCCAGCTCTCGTGCTAGCCCCATCCCCTTTACAGAGAAGAACAGAGACCCAGAGCAAATGGGCAACTTGCCAAGGCCACGTAGCACACTTGAGCAAGAGTGGGGACCGGAGTCCCAACCCCCTAGACAGGCAGCCCACGTGTCCACCATGACCCTCAGCTCCACCTGCCCTTGCCCTGGCGGGCCGGGCTCGGTCTCTGAGGTAGAACAGACTTTCCCCGGATTCTGCTGGCATGGGCTTGCTGTCCTGCGTCTCAGGGGGTCACAGGCACCAGCAGTACAAAGGTAGAGAGAGCACTGGCCTTGTGGACCTCGCTGTCCGAGGCATCGGGGAACTTCTCCACCAAGGTTGTCTTCAGGACTTTGGCCACGTATCGCATCCCGTACCTGGGGACAGAGTGACAGGCGTGGCTCTGTCCGTCTCTCTGTCAGGGCTTAGGGCATGTGTGACTGGCTGCTTCTTCCAGCCTCAGCCACATCACAGCTGCTGCCACGAACTCTGGGCCTGTCCTTCCCCACTGCCTGAGTCAGTACCGCAGCAGGCCTGTCAGCTCCTGCAACCCAGCCGGCCGAGAGCTCTTCAGAGACCTCCTGTCGCCAGGTCAGGGTGCCCGCTTCCCAGAGGCCTAGGCCCATCCCTGGGAATCTGACACCAGGCCAAAGCCTGGGAGGCTGGGGCAGCCAGGCCTGTGAGCCGCCGGACGCCCGAGAGGGCAGTCTGGGCTGTGCAGACTCGGGGATGCAGAGCAGAGCAGAGCAGAGGCGCTGCCTGCTGCTGCACACTCGCAGACCAGACCGGGTGGGCCTCGCCCCCGGCCTCTTCCCAGGCCTCAGTCCCCCTAGCTCCTAGGCCTTGGGTGAGGATCAAGGGCAACTATGCCAACAAAAACGTCAAAGGCATTCAAAATTCCCAGACTTTATTACTCCTACTCCTACCAAGGTTGCGCTACCTACAAGCTTAATTACATTTGTTTAAAAGTGATTCCAATCTCCTAGGGTACCAAAGGCAAAAGTTTATAACTCACTGTAGACCGAGGCAATCTTTGCTGACTCCTACTTGTAAACCCTTAATGTAGCTCTCAAATTTGAGGTCTGGGTATAAACTCTGGGTTGCCCCAGCACCCCGCCTTCCCCTGGGCAGTGCGGAGCACCAGAAAGCCAGGAGGCACAGTGATCCGTCCAGGTGACACTCCTGATCAACATTGTTTGTTTGTTTGTTTTTTGAGACAGGGTCTCACTATGTAGTTGAGACTGACCTGGAACTCACTATGTAGCCCAGGCTGTTCTCAAACTCACAGTGATCCTCCTGCCTCAGCCTCCCGAGTGCTGGGATTATTGGCATATACCACCATGTCCGACAAATTGTTTACCAAAAAATACTGATTTCATTTGAAGAAAGGAGAGAGTTATAACGCGGTTCACTGCTTTGAAATACTTTTCTGACTCTGTACACCAAAGGGTGTCATTTACCCCCATCTGCCCTCAGACAACAATGTCCTCATTGTCATTACAGGTCCTCTAGGCCGCCTCCCGCCTGCTCTGCCTTCCCATGAAAGCCCGGCCTGTGCCAGGCTGTCCCACATACGGAATCTGCTCCACAGACGAAGTGATGGCCGTGAGGAACTTCTCAGTCATGGCGAGGAGGCTGCGCAGGGAGATGTCCAGGCGCCGCTGCACTTCGGGGTGGCTCAAGGCCTGCTCAGGGGTGACGTCATAGGGGAGACAGCTGTGGCAGGAAAGACAGGTGAGGCTGGAGCCCGTGCTGCTGCCCTGTCAGCAGCCAGCACGCTAAGGGGAGGTCAGGACAGGAGAAAGGTCTCACAGAAGAGGGAAGAGAGGAGGGAAGAGCCGGGGTCCCGGTAGGGAGGCAGGAAGTGTGTAGGAAGCAGCAGAGAGCCTCAGATCTGCACAGAGACGCCATGGGGCACTAGAAGAGGCAGGGGCAGCCTGCCATTCCCTCCCAGCGGAGACAACAGGGAAGCCGAGGCCTTTGTTTCCCCTGGCTAAAGCCCCTGCCCTCCAGCGTACCCACCTGGGCCACCAGGGCTCCTCAGCGTGGGACCTCCCGAGTGGGTCAGTGCCGACCCACAGGCAGGGCTGACTCTCCCGTCACCTCACTCATCCGTCCCTCCGCAGACGGAACGTTTACCCACACCCTCGGGAAGGAGCTGACGTCCACTACCCAGGATCTTGCTGCCGTTTGCGAGCCCTGACACGGCAATTAAGCACATCTGCATATTCATCTGCCGCCCTCCTCCGACCCGGTCACTTAAGTCAGTTCCCTGATGACTGCCAGAGAGGTCTGAGCAAGCAGCTACTCCATCTGCTCCCCAGGCCCGGTCATAAGTCGGTGGCGCCTGGTTCACACTGGGCTTCCCAGGAGGCCGCTCACCTGCGCTGCCCCGTCCGGGCCTCGCTCTGGTTGATCCAGCTCTTGTAGAGGTGGACTGGGTCAGTGTGGACGCTGAGCGCTCTGTCCTCCAGCACGTCCTGGATGACCTTGCCCAGGATCTCCCGCAGGGCACTCAGTCCCCGCCCGTTGCGGTAGAATCTCACCACCAGCCTCACCACGGTGGGGTTGCCCGTCACCATGTCCTGGGGGCGCTCCACCCTTGACCTGTGGTTCGAGAGGTCGGGGAAGCGAGTTTCTGTGTAGCTGCTTTTCCTTTCCCACCATCTCGGCCTCATCGTGCCGTGCCTTGGGAAACATCTTCCGGTCTCTCCCCGAGTCGGTCTACCTTGGACCTCATGGGTGTCACCCTGTGAAGGAGCCACAGGGGCCGCTCATCCCACCCTTCCCGCCCCTGTGCTCGGGGGCACCCACTGGATCTCCTCCTGCAGCGCCGTCTTGAACAGCTGGAGCAGGAGGTAGGCCTCCCGGCGGTTGGAGGCGTAGTTGTACAGACTGAAGATCACCGCCTCCATGAACCTGGTGGTTTTGTTCTGCGGCATCTGGAAGATGAGCTTGGCCAGGTAGGTGGGCTGAGTCTGCGGGCAACAGGGGACAGGCAGGGCTGCGGATCGCACAAGGCTTTTCCGGCACGGGGGACATTCCAGACTGACAGGAGAGGGTGGACGGGGCATTAGGGTTACAGGAAAGGAGCTCATGTGGAGGGGTGGGGGTACAGAAAAGCCCACGCTCCCAGGCCTTCCGGTGGAATGGCTTCTCCTTCTAGGGCCCTCTGCTCACCTGGAGCAGGTAGAAGAGGTGCTGGTAAGCGTCTAGCTTCTGCCGTTTCTCCTTGCTCAGTGACTTTAATCCCTTCTGCTTGTCCAGGACCATCATGTCTGACAGCTGCTCCTTGTTCTTCTTGGTCAGCTTCTTGCAGTGGGAAACCACCTCCTGTGGGGCCGTGGGGGACACAACCAGGTCAGGATGGGTTAGAACCCACGCCGGGGCTCTCTGCGGCCCGGAGAGCAAGACCGAGCCAGGGGCAGCCGTGCTCTGGGGTGAGAGGGCACCCCGTCGGTCGCCTCTGCTCTCATGGGGGTGAGCCCACAAGACAGCAGGGTTCAGGCTGAGGCACGGCCTACTCCCTGCTGACACACACGTGAGGAGGCAGTGTCCCCTGCCCCACAAACCCATGTGCAGTTTGAGGGTGTGGAAGTCCCCGCTGATCTCTGCACCAGCCCGAGGTCGACACTCCCTCCAGTTTGTTAAACAGAAAGCAGGCCCGAGGTGGGAGGCCGCCCACTGCTCGGCACAGGGTCACCCAGCCGGTCACTGCAGCTCTGCCCCCAGGTTCTTCCCACTGTGCCACACACACGGCTGCCGAGGCTTCTCCAAGGTCAGAGGGCCACGGGGCGAGGGCGGAGTGGCACAATACGACCCACACGTGTCACAGCAGGGAGCGGTCGGCACCCGGCCCTCACCTGCAGCGTGATCCGGTTCCTCACCAGCAGGCCAATCTTGACGTCCATGAGGCTGAGGTCCTGCTCCAGCTGTTGGTTGGAGCGGATCTTCCTGACCACCTCCTCCTGCAGCCTCAGCAGCTCCACCTCAGCTGAGAAGTCCTGCTGGCTCTGGTTCAGGAGGTGGACGAACTTGCGCACCACGCCGAGGGGAGGGTGGGCGGCGTGCACTGGGGAGGGAGGGCGTGTGGGACCAGCGGGCCCCTAGCCAGGCCTGTGCCCGAGCAGGGGCGGCGGTCTCGTGACCCACGTGACACAGGTGTGCCCAGCCTGGGCCTCAATCGGCCTCCACACCCAAGGCTCGGCCGCAGTGGCTTCCCATGCCTACCGCCAGCCTCCCCTCAGGCCTGGCTGCCTCGCACAAGGCTCCTACAGGGCGGTCTGACAGGTCAGATGGGACGGTCAGTGGGGTTCGGCACATGGGGGGGTCAGAGATGGATGGGGAGCTGGTATTTAAGCCAAAACAGTCTCCACGGGAAGCTACAGCTAACCAGACACAAGGTCCACCCTCCTGGAGACGTGTAAGCATTTCTCAAGCATCTGTGAGGTCAGGACGCTAAAACCATGGGCTTCCTGACGAGGTGGCTGAGGCACAGAGAGGGCTGACCGCCCCAGGTCACACGGCTGCTACTGAGAGGAGGAAGGAGGAGGCTCTGTGCCTGCAGGGTGTCTGGTAGCAGAACCAGCGCAGGAGCCACAGCTCACTGGCGCAGGTCGAGCTCGGGGATCTCAGGAAACAGACAGGCTCCAGGCCCTCCCAGAGCACGGAGAACGCCCCCAGCGGCAGCGTGCGAAGAGGTGTGCGTTGGGCAGAGTGGGGTGGCATTGAGGCAGTGAGGATAAGAGGGCTGGGCTGCGGGGGGAAGGAAGCAGCAGGCAGGTGGCCGAGGCCCGACAGCTCCGGGCCTGCATGGCCACTCTGAGGCCCGAAAGTAGCCTGCTGCTTCAGGGCCGCAGGGGCCATGGCAAATGTGTAAGAGCGCCGTTAGTCGGTGCCACGCAAAGGAAGACAAACGCACGGGCAGCCTGGAGGGGCCCTTGAGGCTCGACGCGCACATCCAACCCAGGGAACACGGGACAGGAAGCAGGTGCTCCCCGCAGTGCCCCCACACTGCCCCACAGGGCCTGTGCAGGAGAAAGAGCCAGGGACAGGGAAGGGGCAGTCAGAGACGGCTGGAACCCAGGAAGGGAGGTGTCTTCCGGGCTCTGGCAGTGGCTCCGGGTGGATCCACAGCCTGGCAGGATGTGAGGGACTGCGCCGGCGCCTTCTCTGCCCAGTGTATCCTGGGGGGGCACTGAGGCACCCCAGGCTCTGGGGTCCTGGTTCCCCTTGAGCAGGGGCAGGGGTAGCTCAGGCAGCTCACCTAATGTCTTGTAGTCATCCCGGACTTTCCTGGCTCGGAAAAACGCCTGGATCTTCACAACAGAGTCAACCTGCCACGAACAACCTGATGGCCACCCTTGTTCTGGTCGCCTGGGCAAAGCCTGGGCAGGGCGGGGAGACACTTACATTCCTCTGGAAGTAGTGCAGTCGCCTCAGGTGCCGGCTCCGAGCTGCCCACATGCGGGCCCAGGCCTGGATCTGGGAGGGAGCCACGGCTCAGAGCTCTGGGCTGGAAGCCGATTCAGCCACCCCAGCAGTCACAGAGGTGAGAGGGCTCCAGGGACAAGAGCCCACCCGAACGCACAGCTACCTTGACTATGGAATCCACATTTGCTCTAAAATACTGCAGCCGCTCCAGGTAAGTCTTCCGCTGCCTGTAACCCCGCCAGTGAGCCTATGGAGCAGGGGAGAAGGCAACCCTGAGCAGGTCTTCAGGGCAGGCTGGAGGCGAGGGAGAGGGAGGGAAACTGGCCGTTTCAAGCTTCCAGCTTTGCGGGGAAGACCCAGGGGCTGCAAGTAGCCGAGTGTGTCCTCTGCCACCCTCCCTGGTGCCAGCAGACACTCATGCCCTCACCTACATCACTGCAATGAAACCTGCTGTTAAGTGCAGGCCCAAGAGATGCTAACATAGCGCACACCTACTGGCCACCTTCACCACAGCACCAAAGCCCCCGACATACAGCAGCCACCCACACCGGCACGGAGTGGGGACAGCAGTCAGCGCCGCTGGGTGCAGGGTGGGAGTGTGAAGACAGCCTGTCCACGGCAGCCCACAGCCGCTTGGGTGAACACGTCTCTTGACAACGGCACCAGCCAGCCCAACTCCAGCTCAGCAGACCTCACTGAGGCACCCAGGGCCCAGCCATCAGCCCGTTGCCTCGCTTGCCAGGCTGCTGCCAAGGGTGCAACCACAAGCTCCGTCCTGAACCACCCTCCTCTGGTCTTCCTAGGATCCTCTTCCCTCTCATCCCAAGCTTGTGTGAGTTTACTTCTTCTAAAGTACTGCTTGAGCCTGGTGTGGTGACACAGACCTGTGATCCCAGCACTCAGGAGGCTGAGGCAGGAGGATCACCTTGGGCTACCTAGTGAGTTCATGGCCAGCCTGAACTACATAGAGACTCTGTCTCAAACCAACAGTGCTGCCTGGACAGTGCCTCTCTCAGCCTGAACCTTCCAGAAGTTCTTGACCATCTTACCCGAACTCCACATATGGCTCTCCATTGGTCTCTCACCTTACGGATTCTGGTCATGTCGTACATTTCACTTTCTTCCCAACATGCCTCAGGGCGTTGCCCCTGCACTTTTATTTGTGGGGCTCCGGGCCCCCAGCCCTGCCTGTACCTCTGAACCCTGTTAGGGGCCGCAGTGACAGCGGCCCCTTGGTCACGTTGAAGAACAGCCCCCACCAGTGCTGGCCAGGCTTCTGCCCAAGGCTCGCTCCGTCTGGGACAGGATGTAGACGAGGCAGGGTGGCCCCCACTCCAGCCTTCTCCACTACTGCCCAGAGGCCAGGAAGCCCCATTTCCACGCCTGCTGCCTGCTCCACCCTCTGGGACACGGCAGAGGGGCGGCTCTCCGCTCTTATTTATCCCCTTAAAAACACGCCACGGCAGCAGGGGTACAGCTCGGTACAAAGTACTTGCCTGGCCCAAGAGAGGGCCTGGCTTCCATCACCAACACTGCCAAACAAAACAAAGCAAGCGAAAAGCCACGCTGCGTTAGCCAGGACTTGGGGCCACAGTCGGGGTCCGGCTGGGTCAGGGCTTTTGGGAGAGACCAGTCCCGGGCAAGCTCCTTTCTGCATCTTACTTCCCCGAGGCCGTGCGTGGCTCTGGCTGCTTCCCTCCGCCTCTCCCTTTCCCTCTGTCCCAGGCCCTAGGCCAGAACCCACACAACTCCAGTATGAGTGAAAAATGTTCCTCTGACTCCACCTTCTCCCTCTGTGGCCTGGCCTTTCCCTGGTGTGAAATTCCAGCCTGGGCTCAGCGGGGTGGGGTCGCTGTGACTCACAGCACCACAGAGATGACCACAGCTCTCAACTGTGTCCAGAGACCAGTGCCCCATGGCGAGACGACACAGCTCATGGCCACCACCAACGGTGCTTAACGCCCGGTCTAAGTGTCATTTCCCACTTCAGCCTCACCATCAACGTCGGGGCTGTGTACCGTTGCACCGTCATGAGTGAGAGAACAGTGCTGGCGGGGCTGGAGTTAAGTACACAAGGTCACGTGACCCGAGGGGAGGCCCAGGAGGCAAACTCCAGCCTCCACATTACCACTCTGCGGCCCTAGGTCATAACCGAGAGCCACCAGCCACCTCAGGCCGGGCATCTGCCTCTCTTGAGGTCCGAAGGTGGTGGTGTATCTGCTCATCACAACAGGGAGAGATGGACGACTCACTGTGGGTCTCACGCCCACCTCCCCTTGGGCCTTGTGCCCCACGGCCCTTGGTGGGTACTGGGCATTCAGGCAGGGCTCACACACTCATAAGGCCCCGGAGATTGCCTCTGCTGGGGAGGGGAGGCCCCCGATACCCAGCACTCATAGGGCGCCCCATGGCCACCTTCCCTGCCGGCCACAGGGGCCACGGTGGCCACCCACAGGCCAGAGGATGAGAAAAGGCAGAGGCCTCCCCTCTCCCTGGGCAGGCCACCCTTTCTGCTCACCGCCACACCTCCCTTTCCTCCTGTCTGGCCAGAATGCCCTGCTGTGTTGGATCCAACTTTAGCCACTTTCCCTAGGGGAGGCTGGCAGGCAGCCTCACACTGGGCAGTGCCGATGACGCCAGTAATGAGACTTCCGTCACAGCCCTGCCTACCTGCCAGGCGAGTGTAGGAACACACGGGATTGCTCCCCTACTCACAACCCTACCACAGCCTGGGTGCTATTATTTCTACTTTGAGGAGACTCGGCAGAGAAAAGGTAACCTGCGAGGCCACATAGCCAACAGGCCAACAGAGAGCTGGGTCTGACCCTCCAGGGTCCGTGCTCCCCGCCATGAGGCCCACGGATCACCCTGGCTTCGTTCGGCCAGGACGTAGAGTACAGACAGTGCCACGCTTAGAAAGTCAGATAGGCCACCTGGATCTTGATGATGGCTGGGAGCCCGGTCCTCAGAAAGCGAGACCGCTCGGCAAACTTCTGGCGGACGAGGAAGCCGCGGAGGCGGGGCCGGAGCCTCCACGAAGCA